ACGGGTAGACAGACATAATCAAATTAATTTAAAAAGCAGGTATACAGACAAACAGACTTAATACTGAAAAATCAACGACCTTGCGAAAAACTAACTGAAAAATTTTCTTAAGCATTGCAATATGTGCTATAGCTTAAACATGAAAAAATTCTTTCGTTAAACATGGAAAATTATTATGCTTAAACATGGGAGAAGTCACTCGCATTTAAATATAGTATAGATAGATAGTCACTCGCATATTTAAAGTCACTCGCATTTAAATATAGTATAGATAGATAGATTATTACAAAGAAACAAAATAGAAATTAAAATTTTTCTACCTGAAATGGGACAGAACTTGCAAAATAGCAGACTTAAAATTTACTCATTAGTGAATTCTGCGTGATTGTATTTATAGGTTGAAGAAAAACTGAAACACTAACAAAAAATCCATGATTTCTCAAAGAAACAGCAAATTCGTGAAGATTATGAAAAATTTAATTTCTAAGTTAAAAAAAGGTGTTCAACTATGAAAATAGAAAAAGACAGTATAAACAAGAAAAATAGTCAGAAAATCGCATAAGGGAACAAAGTCTTTATAAATAATGAAACCAAAAACTCCAAACTGATCCAAATACAATCGAAATAAAACAGCTTTCATGACAAGCCTTATGCTCCTAATCACCTCACATTTTATGTAAGAATTTAGTTAGAATTTTGGGGAAAAAAAACAAGAGAAACAATCCGATAAGATTTGAGAAAAAATATTTCCAGAAAAAAAATCATCACGACCTATAACAAGTCTTCACTACGTTCAACGACACTTAATACGCTGAAAAAAATTCTTACATATAAAAAATAAGGTCCAGACAACACACAAATTCAGAATTCACCAGAAGCTTTACTGTAGACCGTCAGTAGGACAATTGCGTTTTCATCAAAAGCTAATTCAATTTTTTTAGAAGGTTTTTAAGAAAAATTTTTATATGAGAAAACTAGTTCGCGATAAAAAAAATACTTGTTCTAGCAAGTGTAAATCATATTTTCAGAAATTACGCATCAAGAATCGAATAACCTATACTTTTATCCAGCCTACATTTGCAATTTTAAGGACCAGATTAACGTAAAGAAAACTTTCCAACCACAAAGCAAAAAAAGTTTAGCCGAAAACCAAACAAAACACCCTGATCAGCCCGGGATCGATTCTTCTATTTTTGACTTACGAGTCCAAATTCACCTCTACACTACGCAAATCCGTCCAAGTAAAAAGAATACTTTTCTATTTAACACCGAATAATTAACAAAAATTATCGATTTTATCATGCTTCGATTAATGCGTCCAAAAAGTGCAAAGATTAATTATAATTTGCTTTTGAACACAGAAACGAAGATGCAATTCCCGAAAATCAGAGAACAATCGCAGAAGGTATCTTTAGAAAAGTAATCATTAACACAAAGGCGAAGCAGAGCTTCGCGTCACTTCCAATACAAAACAAACATAAAAAGCAAGTCGACAAAAAAAAGAAAAATGTTAAAAACTTGGTCTACCAAAAATTAAATTTTCGCAAGTCTCGATAGAAGTTCATTCCAGGCAAGCATGGCAGACATTTGGATATTAAGTTAGCAGTGGAACAAAACTTACGTAGAGGAAACAAAGCCGACAAAATTTGTGCAGAAACAACTTGGGCCGAATTTTTTTTCTTAATCTTAGAGTTTCAAGTCCCCCTTGAAATTGCAATGAACAACATTTGCACTTGCAACTACAAGGAAACTTACTAAGCAAGAGAAAAATCTTTGCAGAGGCAAGGAAGCCGGCAATCTTTGAGCAGACAGTAGTTGAGCCGAAAAAAAATAACACTATTTAAAAAATAAAAGTCAACCTTGAAACTGTATTGAACAACACTTGCACTTGCAATTATAACAAAAGTTGTCTATAGCACAATCAAAATCAGTGCAATGGCAACTAGGCAGGCAAAGCTTGAAGACAACCAAGTCCGATAATTCAATTTTTACCGAAAAAAAGATCAGTTACATATATAACAATGAGGCGAAGCTGAGCTTCGCACCACTTGCGATACAACACAAAAAATCAAAAATGTCGAAAAAACTAGAATTATCATGATGGATCAGTCTAGTTTTAGAACAAAACCATGCTTAGACAATAGATAGTGAAATAAGCATCAGAAGATAATTTACCAAGCCGTAACAAATACCTTGGCAGAAACCTACTAAGCCGAAAAAAAATCAACTGAATTTAACACTTATGAAAAATCCCGTCGCCCTTAAAACACTCAAAGAACATTATTTGCTCGTCAAATGAAACAACATCAGACACCTAAGCCAATAATTATATAGCCCGAAACCTAGGAAGCCTAAATAAACAAAAATAAAAAAAAAGTAGAAAAAAATCAAGACTTATAAGCAGTTAGTAAGCCCCCCTCGCCCTCAAAACACGGACACGCACACACAAACTATTTTCGCTCGTCGAAGGTCGGAAACTGAGGCCGATATGCCGCAAACCTATCAACCCGAAAAAAAAACAAGACGATGAAAAAATCAGTGTCAAGAAAATTTTCAATTTAATTTCTTTTAGGATGTTTAGCATTTTGTTCAACCCACAGATGAGCAAAGAAATGTTTTCTATGAAACAACTCGAAATTTCTATGAAAAAATTACGAAGAAACAGAAGTAAATCAATACACTAAAAACAATTATATTGTAAAAAAAACTTAAATTAATATAAGCGATTTAGTTATGGTTAAAACAAAGCGGAAATTAAGCCGACAAAAAGTAAATCGAAAGCGATGAAGTCGAAAACTCAAAAAAATACCAAAGAAATATCATGTTAAAACCTTGAATTGCGAATTTATAGGAGTAACACTAATCAGGATACACAGTGAGATGAAAAGACCAACTAGCGCAAACATACGACGCACTACTACATGCAAGTCGTGTACTGCATGCATGCTGAAATCTGTGGACAAAGTCGTTTATACGGGAAAAATGTCTAGTACTCGATTGCAATACCCTTGCTACAGAAGGGAAATTAAAAAAAAGTTATAGCCGGGACTCGAACACCTGACCTGGGGGTGCAAAGGCGACGTCATTAACTTTAGGCTATGTGAGAACGAACCTGGAAGTTGTTAAGCTTCAATAAAAAAAGCAAGAAAGAAAAGCATGTGAGATCTGTAGGAAAATTAATAACGGGAAAAAAATCTAGTTCCCGATTGCAAGACACTTGTTTTGTGTATAATTAGGCTTTGAAAAACTTTCGGGATTTGAACTACCTCGAATCCCAGAAACTTCTTCCTACGAGATTCATGACCCTGACCACTGGATTTTTTTAAGTAACTCATTTTCAAAACTACGCTATATCTCCTTTTTTATTGAAACTGAGCACTATGATTGCACTAATTTGTGCGAATTTATTAGGAGTAATGTGAACTCGAATTAAAACCCGAGTGTTTGCTTGTGTAAATACAAGAATTAACCAAACATAGCCAACAGAAAGTTGGGAAAGAGTCAATGAACGCAAATAAACAGAAAAAAACTAGTTTACTATTTTAAAAATCTCAACTTTTAAATTGAAAAAAAAGGTAAAGATGTCGAAAAAGAGAATCAGTTAGCCTCATAAGCAATCCCTTCCGGCACTGAGTCGGGTCAGGAAATTAGTTAAGAGAAACAAAAACTCAAAACCGCATTTTTGAACCCAATAAAATTTCGGATCTGATTAGTATTTCCTCTATGGTAACTAGTAACGAATAACCAACCAATAATGAACTGTTTCAGAGCTTGAACAAATAAAGATAGCAACAGAAAGTGGGAAAAGGGTCAATTAACGCACAGAAAAAAATACCGACTAGCTTTTCTTCGATAAAACTCGAATTAAAAAAAAATAGATGCCCTTACAACTCCTTGAATTTCTAGAACAATTTATGATTGGCACTTTTCTGATAAAAATAACCAAATTTGAGAGAACTGGATCAGAATTTTAAAGCTTAATTCCGTTGGTAAATCTGAAAATTAAATACCACTTTCGAAAATAGAAGTCGGTTCTTTTTCGTGACCTTAACATTTTCGGTATTCGATCATGGAGTTTGCCTTTCTTTTAACAAAGGAAATGAAGTGAACTAAAAAGAAATCAAGTTCAAAAAAATATTACATTTGAGCCTGAACAAATTTTAAGATTTTTCCTGAAAAAAAATCATCATCGACACCTATATAACAGTCTGAATTACGTTCATAGAATCTTCAAAAATTGATTTAAAATAAAAAGCAGAGACAGAGTTGAAAAACCCAAAATATATGTATTGCCTTTCTTTAAACGTTTTTCAACTTTCCATCTTCAGAGAAAAATATACACCATGTCAAAGCTCTTGGAACTTCAAAAAACTTTTCTAATTGCCACGGCTTTCAGAAAACTATCCAATTAAAGAAATTTTTGTCAATCAGTAAAATTTTTCGTGAGAACGTTATCTTTTTTATCAAATGAATTTGAATTGAACTTGAACGAAAAATGAAATCAACGCGAAAGTCTTTTCACTAAACACACTCAAATGACCTAAATAGTAGTTTTCAGTAGCTTTTAAAAAGTTTTTACCCAGAACACGCTCGCCCTTCAAAATAATATGATATACTCGCGCAGGGCGCCTTTAACCGAGTCAATCAGACAAAAATGGATGTAAATTAGTACCAAATGGGGGCCCCTTGGGTAGCGAGAGGGTCGAACTTCTAAGAGTAGAAAGAGGTGGGGCTTCTGTATCTCTTAGAGAGATGCCTTTTATGAAAGTGGACCAGGACTGAAATGGAACCGAAATTCCACACTCGATTATTTACCAGATGCACTTTAACGCCTGAAATTGAGCGGAAAAAAGACCATGAACCTACGCTACAAATGCTTCCCACGCCGTCAGTGGTTTGAACAAAAAACTGAATAAGTTAAAACCCACGTTGGTTATTGACACTTTTTAAAAGCTTTTTGATCCTTATCGCGCCTGATCCCTATGACGATAAAAGAATAATTGGTTTTTCATAAAAATAGAATTACTTTCAACATGTATTGAGATTGAGATGCTTGTAAAGTTTGGATTGTAAATGTAAAATTCGGCGTCAGCGTGATTGAGTTTGAGAGGAGGTTTGCTTGTTTATTTGTTAGATTAGCTAGCATTACTTTACATCACTTTACTATCACAACATCACTGTTAGTTCGAACAGAACTTCATGAACTGCGAAAACATAGCGGAAAGGAAGTGGCTTCATGAATTCCTGTCCTGGTTGTATTTGATTGTTTCATTCTGTGCCGGATACAATTATAGGTTATGTAACAGCACTTACAATAGTATTTTTACACGGAATTGAACAACGAAAGTGTAAATAAACCAAATGAAAAGAACTTTCACCAAAAATATATTCTGTTCTGTTCTCAGAAGAGGGCGAAATCACTCCAAAATTGCAGTGCTGGGAAACCTAGGGGCAGTTAAACCCGACTAGACTTCATGTATTTCTCCTATCCTACCGTTACTACCGTTAATTCATGCTGAGAAAAATCATGGCTGGTATATTCAAATCTAACATGGCAATCAACTCTTAAATTAAGCAACACTCAGCTAAGGCTAGTATCAGTACTAGTTGAGGTGTGACTGCTGAACTCTAAATCACTTCATATCTTATCAAGGTACTAAGAACATTATCATAGGCACTTATTAAGGCATGTGCAATTGCAATTGTCAACATCCATTCAGTCTTCATTGACCAACGACTTAACTTCGCTTTCAACTTAGCAAACTGCAATTTTGGAGTGAGTCATATCAGTAATTGATAGAAGTAGATGATTTGTAGTGTCATGGCCAATAGAATGACTATAGCGTCAACAGTTGACAATGTATTTTAATGATGGGGCGGGGTTTGTTCAAGTGGGTTGCATTTCCAGCATCATCAAAAACTTCAAATCGAGTCAGGTACATGTATTGCATTTCTTGCCAAAGCATAATTCGGATACTTAACTGTTTTTCATCTAAATACTTGATTTTGAAACTTTTACTCAAGAACAGAACAGCTATCACTTGATTTAAATTTCTTTACATCAGCTAAACATTCTGATTAATTTCGGATCAATTAATTGGACCAAAACGAGCAATCAAAATACTGCATATGATTTTGATTCGAATAAGCTTGTATGTCAATTGTGAAAAATGACTTCCAAAACATTCAAATCAAAAGCACCATCAACAGCATGTAAAGTTGTTGTTAGTCTCTTTGCAACTGCATTACGAAGCAAAATTCAGCACATCGTAAGCTCTCACATCAGATCAGATAGCTGAGATGACTGGACAAATTGACAAGTGTTCAATTTTGCAAAATAAGGGGGCTTCAATTGCGCCAGATTTATTGGTTCGATTGAGACTTGACAGTCACTGTTTGAAAACAAGCACGAAAACTAAATCCTGCAAGGAAAAATAGGAAACTATCGCACCACCAATTTTCCAAAGCACTTAGAAAACGAACAGCAGCAACTGCTATGCAATGGCACGGAAAAGAGATCCTGGTATATATGCACTGGACCACCACGTCCAGAAAAATGCGTCCAAACAGCCAGAAATGACGCACCAAGCAAAACATTTTTTTTGGAATTTTAAATGTGATTGGCAAATGAAACAACATTAATATACTATAAAACACGATTAATGCAGTAACCTTAAAAGCTCCCCAAATGTAAATAAAATACAATGTAAGCTATAGAAAGTTGGATGACCAAATTTGACGTTTTATTTAGCCTAATAAACACTTTGCGGAAGGAGGAAGAGGGAATTGAACCCTGCATTTGCATTGCTTGCAAGGGGTTAAGCGAGACGATTCTATGGGCATGTAGGATCCGGATTCAGTCTCAAGGTTATGTGAGGGAGTTAGGGCTCAGGCGAACAATGTACAGGGATCGAAACATAATACAAATACCCTGCCAATTACTTTCAATCTACAATTAAATGAAAATTAAATTGTTTTATGAAGCTTTATACAGCTTACAATTGGCAGGGTTTCAAATTTGAATTTATAAATTTGAGACTATAGCAATTTGAGAACAAAAATTGTTTTAGTTTGGCTGAGCAGCTCTTCAAGAGCCGATCGTGACACCGATCGTATTGTAGTTGCGATAGCGGCACGGCAGCAAAAGGTAGCATTTGAGCAGAAGCAGTAGCACTGGACTACAGTCCACGTCCTTGTACTCCAGCTCCATTGATCTGGCCTGCTCCAGGCAGAAAAACCAGAGAAAACACATGAGTAAAGCACAGAAAAACCAATTTATCCAAAATTAGCTTCATCTCTTGGCCTCGCGAGAGCAGGCGGGTCAAGCATGACGAGCGACGAAAAGCTAACTAAGACCCACGCCCTTCCGAAGTCAACGATTCAACTGTTGTTCCTATCAAAAAATCAAGCGAATAAAGCACCTACAGCACATGGAGCGCCATGAAGTATTCGTGGTTATACAACAGAATACAATTTTTATGTTTAAAATAACAAGCACTTAGTTAGCAACATAAAGTATTAATAACATAGCATTAGTATCGGCATTAGTAATTCGTAATATAGATAGTGTATTAATATATGCATCTGATCTGAACTCGGATACTTCACGAGGCGGCGATATGGTGTTTGCGTAGTAGAATTAGACTAAATTATGTCACATTAGTACTAGTTTCAGGGTATGTTATATAAGAGCTTTGTTAATTACAACATCGACACGATTCACATCTGAGAGTAACATATCTATGTCGATGCCTTTTGATTGTAACTTCAGTTGAGTTGACGACCAAAAGCAAACAACTTCATAACAGCAGGAGCTACTAAATCGCAATTTGAAGGAGTTCGGTTGCGACAACTAGACTACTGTTTACTTACGTGAAAAGTGTCGAATGAGGACAATGTAGTTTGCGTTAAACTTTTGGGCAGCATCTAAGGAGATTGATCAGTTTTTTTCTCAGTCAGTTTTCACCATTAAAGTTTGATTCCAAAACAACACTTCAATTTCCAACTCAGTTTCAATCATCGAACTTCATCGGGTTAACTACAGCCATCTGTCTTTGTTTCGGCGGGTTGCCTTTGTCACTTCCAAATACTGACGATATGCTACTGCTGGTTCCGGTTTGTTGCCCACCAATATTTGCTGCAAGGGGAGAGGGCGACCTGCTGCTTCGCTCTTTCTGTCCTCCGCCACCTCCTCTTCTGAACGCAGGCAGAGTTCGTTTATCCGAGTGAGAGACCAAGGCTGAGAACTGAGGCGGTGAGTGGTCGCGTTCTCGTCTTTTCGGGGACACATTTCTGGCAGATTGTGGTGTGGATGACTGTTGAGCTTGGACTGGCTTAACAGGTTGAGCTGCACTAACTTGATGCGAGTTCTCAGTTACAGACACATTTGAAGAATCCGATACTTTCGAAAAACTGCCTCGACTGACAATGTCAACTCCCCTTCCAATGGGAGAGACACTTCGTTCCTTTGCTGGCACTGGCTTAATTTCATGTTTCTGAGATTCATCTGCCCAGCTTCCAATTACCTTTGATGGCGCAGTAGGTTGAGTAACTTTTGGTTCAACTCTAGCCCATTCTGGTCTGACATCCTGTTCCTGTGAAGATTGTCTGAGCTTATCGGTGTTCTTAGTTGGTGGCAAATGACTCAAATTGGTTTTCACGATTGATGCTGCACCTGCTGTACTTGAGTTTCGAGTAGTTCTCACAACTTGACTCCACGAGGAGGATCCGGATCCTCCTGATGAAGGTTTCTGTGCCTCAACTTGGTCTGCCCAGCACGACGATGTAGACCCTTCATTAGACGTGGACGCTGAAGAACCAGACTTTTCGGAGTTGTTTTCAAACTGCAGAGACTTCATGATGACAACCTCCGTATCTTCGGCAGGCTTGGTTCCACCTACATCCGCATTTGGTCCCACTGGAGCTCTGGGTGCGGCGTCTCTTCTTCCCCAGCCACTTCCTCTTGGAAGCCTCGGAGGCGGTCTTCCGAAGCTACGTCCTCTAAATCCCGAACCAGAGTTCCCAGTTTTATCCTCTGGGCGGTCAAACGATGAGGATCTTGCTACTATTGACTGAGGTCTGTTATCAGAGTTTTCATGTGAAGGCACAGCCGATTGAGAAGCACCGAAGTTTGATGTTTGACTGTAGGATGGAGGCGCTCTTCGTGACGCTCCGCCCCAAGCATTTGGAGTCGGCTGAGGAGTAGGTTTTTGCTTACGCTTCTGCTTAACTTCTTGAAAGCCTTCTTGGTCCACATCGGCTTCACTTAGCTCGCTTTTACTATTATTTGACTCTAGTGACATCGCTGGCGAAGCTTTAGCTTTTGGTTTCGGCTCAACTAGCTTTTCGGCTGAGATACTGGTACCCATTTTTTGGACATTGTCTGCATCCTTCTTAGTCGGATATTGAGATCTCGAGTCCTGGTAAGTTGACTCTGTGTTATTCCCTGGAACATTTTGGGGAATCAAGGTTGGTTGAGGTTGTGCCAGAGGACTCACTGCGACAGGGACAGGCCGCGGCTGGATAGGTTGTACATTAGCTACACTGGCAGCCAGCCGGGAAGACCAGGATGTTAGAGGTGCTGACACTACCGACTGTACCTTTGCTTGCTCCTTTTCTCCACATGTACTACCCTTTTCAGTAGGTTTGATTGTGTCCTGTTTTGTGACTGGCGAATTTGCACTGGGAAAGTGAACAGGGTCCAATGAGGAAACAGGACTCTTCTTCTCAGTTTCTCCCTTTGTTTCGTCTAACTTCTTAGACTCTTTGTGGTCCTGCATGGGGGGTATGAAGTTTATTGGTTTCACGATAGCTGCCTTCGAAAATTTATTTCCCCATGTGGCTGTTTTTGGAAGGATTGTTGTTGATGCTCCATTCGAAGACTGTGGCTTGTTGCTACTTGAAGCAGATTCCCTGTTGTTAGCATCTTTTGGTTTAGATTCGGCGACTAAAAATCAAGTCATCTTAAATTAAATTTGTTGTCAAGTCTTATGAGCAGGTAGCCTCATATAACCAATCGCTTCCGGCTTTCAGTCAAGTCAGGAAATCAGTTCCAAATTAAAATTTAAATACCCCAATTTTTTGAACCCTATAAAAATTCGGATCTGATTAGTATTTCCCCTATGGTAACTAGCAACAAACCAGCACCCATATAATGAAGTGTTTCAAGCTTGCGCAATTACAAAGATAATCAACATACAGTTGGGAAAGAGTCAATGAACGCAAGTATACAGGAAAAAAATCCCGACTTGTGTTTTGAAATAATCTCAATTATCGAATTTCAAAGAAAAAAAATAGAGGGCCTTAAAGCTCTTTGAATTTCAAGAACATTATGATTACATTGAGAACATTTTGCAATACACTGAAGTACTGAACTTAAAAAAGAAATTAAAATTAAAACCGCGAAAGGGTAAATTTGGGCTAGAACCAATTTTAAGACTTTCCTTTAAAAAATCATCTCAACCTGTTTAAGAGTCTGAACTACGTTCACATACTCTTAGTAAGTATCCAGAACCAAAAAATGGGAAGTATTCTAATTTGACGTACGCTGAGAAGTCACTCCGACAGGGGATGCTAAATGTGCAGTTGCAGTCACTGTGGTGGGACGTTTCTGCTGCTGCGCTTTGGAGGAGACTACCTCAGATGAAATATCCGAAGTAGAGCAGGCGCTCTTCAGGTCATTCACTTCCTGTGACAAACAGACAACTTTATTTTTCAAAGCAACTTTTCGAAATCGCCTCTTCTTTTAAAACTTCATAGGCTTCCTCTTTTTCAATAAAAGAAAAGATTCAAAAAACTTCCATTGATAATAGGTGGTCAATTGCAATCCATTATCAAAAGCCTCGAATTAAACTCGCATTGATCTTAATGCATTCGTATCTCACACAATTGCTTCCGCGCACAGACGGTTTATCAACTTGCATTTCAAAATGAAATGCAAGTTGATAAACCGTCTGTGCGCGGAAGCAATTGTGTGAGATACGAATGCGTTACGACCAATGCGAGTTTAATTCGAGGCTTTTGATAATGGACCGCAATTAACCACCTATTATCAATGAAAGTTTTTTATCTTTTTTTTTATTGAAAAAGAGGAAGCAGCCTATGAAGTTTTCGCACAAGAGGCGATTTCGAAAAGTTGCTTTGAAAAATTAAATAACTACGCGTTATTCAGTCAGAGCAAGGACGTTTAAAAACTACAAAACTAAATGACAAATCTAGCAGGGGCGGATCTAGGATTTTCTTGCGGGGGGGTATTGGCGGATTTTCAAAAAATTTTATTAACTTTTTTTCGGCCGACCAAAATGATTTTCCGAGCTCTCCCAAAGCACTTACAAGACATTTTAAACAAGAAATCGCGTTTTTTCGGCGCACATCCCCCCCTAAAAATTAATAAATATTGGCGCCAAAAGCGCCTTTAGAAAAATTTTTGGGTCTGTCAGCAAAAAATTGGTATCCCAAAATAGTACAAAGGGGGGATCCTTTGGGTCGGCAGGGGTTCGAATCCCTGAAGGGGGGGGGGGGGGGGGGGGTCCGCCCTTGAAATCTAGTGTTAGGATCATTTATTTCTTCCAGAAATAATAAACTTTCAAAAAAATCAAGGATAGCCGGTTACTGTGCAAGTAGCCATAGTATTTAAAATACGGCCGGTTACTGTGCCGACCATAGTATTTAAAAAACTACGAAAAAAAGTTTCTTTATCAAATTAGTTTAGTTTTTTCTTCGTGGTGTGATAAAATGATCTGAGGTAAATCTATAAATTAGGCATATTTCGACAGTCATATTAACATAGTATTAAAAGCAAATCGAACAAAAAATTATGTTGAAAAATGACTAGAAAAACAAAAAAAAATCCTATTTTTTTACAGAAAATTTTTGAATTTTTTGATGTTTTTGGTTCTGAAAATGGCGCTAAAAACTCAAAAAACTAATTTAACTTGCTTAGAACTTAAGTTTTCAGAGCATAAATCAAGCATAATTAAGCTGTTGTAAGCCTGCTTGCTCGCTTCATTCGCTCAAAATTTAAAATAAAAAATTTTAAACCAGTTTTTCTCGATACTGAGTAAACTTTCTGATTTTTTTTCTGACAGAGCTTCAATTTGATGATTATTTGTGGTACCTGATTTAGCGTGGAAAACAAAAAAAAACTAAAACATACGCGAATACAAAGTTCCTCCACATTTTCAAATGGTCGGAACAAAAGAAAAAAAAACAAACACACCCGAATACAAAAAAATCCTCCCCATTTTCAATGATCCGCACAATAAAAGCAACACAAATTCGCCGTGTAAGTATCAGGGAAAACTGAGCCAATTTGTGCTAACTGTTCTTAGGGATAAAATTGCTTCGCAGTCAGATTTAAGAACATAAAGGTTGAAGTAACCTTCAGACAAGACAGGACAAGAGCTCAGAAAGTTGTACATGACAGTTCAGACGAAAGCAGAAGAGACACGATTCAAAACAATCTCATTATTTCGACCTTGTTAGTACGCGTACTCACCTCAATCCTCACTTGGGCATCTGAAACAAGTTGCACAATTTCCAAGTTATTATTCAGTATACACGTCACTTCGGGTAACACTTTCTGTGGCGAATTGCAATCCTCACTTTGCAATCCTTCAGACGTAGTCATCGATGGGGACTCTGACACTTCCGAGACTGCTTGAGGTTCCACTAGGGAAGGTGTTGATGTGGACGTGTTCGCGCAGTTTCCAGAGACAGGAGGTTCCGATGACTGAAGCTGACTTGCTTTGTACATCAGGTCATCTTCCTCATGCTGCTGCTGCAACTCTGCTCGGGTTGCTTGTACTTGGGGAGGTACTCTGTTCACCCTAATTTCTAAACAACAACACTCTCGGTTATGTTCATAAAATGTCAACGCTTTTCCGTGAAATCCAAGCTTAATAGCTGTCCTCCGCTTTAAAACAAATGAGAAAATTGTATGCGAAGTTTTACTTCGCTTACAAGCCAGGACAAACTACTATCAGACGTTTTGGGCTGTTAAAGCTTTGATAAATGAAAACTCTAGCACCATCAGCTGTAAATATTCTAAGCAACAAAAGGCAGATTCGAAAATGCTACTTTTAATTTTTCAAAAAATGAAAACAAGCCCTAACAATAACAAGACTGCTCGTATCAGGGCGAAGCCCTGAATGTTCCGACTGCCTTAAAGGTTTATGGAGCAGTAATAACATAAAAATCATTAACAAATTAAATGTAAAAAAAACGAAAAAAAAAAAATCTAAATCCATGAAAATCATCCCCCCCCCCCCCCACACGCCATATAAACTACAAAAGAATAGAATTCGCTACTTGTAACAAATCATTCATGGCAAATAAGCTTCTTTCAACCAATTTGGAACAATTTCTAAGACGGATTAAATCTCCGCTTACGCGTTAATAGCGCGAAATATATCGCGCGTTAATTGTCCCAAATGGGCCAAAATGGCAATCTTTAAACCCTCAGAACTTTACGAAAAATGATCACAGGTGAAATATCTTTTCAAATTTAAGCTCAGGACAACAATAACTTTTGAATGATATAGAAAAATTCCGTCAAAAATGGCTAGTTAAAAAGTTGAAATTTATCTGAAGAACAAAAACCCACCCCGAGCACAAATATTCAGTTACTTTCGTATCGAAAGTCGGAAAAAAAAACAACTTAAAAAGGTCTATAATACAAATTTCAAAGAACTGCTTGCAAGTGACAGGCTTGTCACAAGCGATATAAAAGCAATCTTTTTACCTTGTTCCCTGGGATGTAGAGGTTTGTTTTGTCTAGGGTTTCTCTGTTGTTTTCCTGGGGGAGGCTGGTAAGATCTATTGTAGTGTCCTCCTCCTCTTCTCGGCCCAGTGTAATTTCTAGAGTTGGGTCCTCTTCGCTGCTCGTACGGCGGAGGGGGCATCTGGTACGGCATCACTGGCACGATTGCATGAGGATCTATTTGAGGAAGCTGAAATATATTCACTTGCAATAAAGTTCATTAAAACATTCTTAATTGTAATTAGAATTTAGCAGGAAATACCATAAGCTCTTGACGGAAAATCGAGTAAAAATTAGTATTTTACCATGAATAATGATATGAACGTGTTTTTCCAATAGTTAACCTGATGGGCACGTAATGTTTCCAGGTCCAAGTGATTTTGAGGAGGCGGTGGTGCCATGTTAGCAGGTATGTTGTGTGGCGTTTGCTGAGTCTGAACAGGAGGCTGCTTTGCCCGTTCCTCCTCAGCTACTTGTGCACACATCTCTGCTAGTTTCTCTGTCAAATCTTCTTTCGTTTCTGGATCAACCACCCGGATTGTGCACCTTGGTTTCTGACTACTGTTTGATGTTGCGGCAGCCATTTGGGATTCTGAAGTTGAAGCCAATGATGGAGATTTAGAGCTAGGTCTAGTAGATGATGTTTCCTCCAGATATGGATCGTTGTTAGACTGAGATGTGTTTACAAAAGTTGACGTTGTAGGATTTTGAGCTAGAGTAAAGCAACATTTTATCGAGATTAAAACAACAAAAACAAGTTAGATGTGTGAGTCACTTACTGAAGTTTGGGTCAATTGGAGCCTAAACACATAACACACATGATTATAAGGTTGGAAATGATGACTTTTGTTGTACACTAGATGAAAACAATGGTACCTGAGCTTTTGAAAAGGGAACAAGAGCTGGGTTTATGACTGTCGGACTGTAAATAGGATATGGATGATACTCGAACAGCGGAGCACCTGCTGGATAAGGTCCGTAAGCCCAATAAGAGTTTTGGACATCGTACGGTGGAGGGTGGTCTACAAAAAAATATCTTGACACTAAGTAGAAAATACAAACCAGAGAAAAGAATTACAAGGCAAAAACGTGGTGAAAAACTAGCAGCTAAGGAAATTGAATGAATAAATACATTACTTACACATCGGCGCAATTGCAACCTTCTGTTAGTACCAGTATCAAAGTATCGTTCCACTGAAGCACCACAAAGAACACGTTCAATTTTTCTGACACAAAATACAGGATATTTGTATATAGAACATCAACAATTTCGTCTCATGTACTGTCACAAATCTTAAAAACATTTAAACTAGGCATAATTTATGAAATCAATTATCCTTCCATAGCAAGGAGTAAATAAATTGATGATCTGAGATCATTTGAATCAACTCTCATTAAATGCAAAATTTATAAATTGTTATAACTGTTGATTGGAAGGCACTGATTCCTGCATCTTTTTTTAGAAGAAAAGAGTAGAATTGCCGTGACATGTCTTTAACTTCTATATATTTTTTTCTTAATCAGCATAATAACAAAAGTTACATCAATGCGCATAGATCAAGAGGTGCAGAAAATTCTATGGAGTAGTTTTTATGTCAAAAATACAAGTGTATTCAAAAAATCACAACAAAATACGGTTATGTATTAATGAGCATACTGCTTGAATCTCATACTGTTCAACGAGCCCACAAATCAAGCTAAATTGCTCTATGTGCTCGGCATACGATCTCTGGTAGACGTGTTACGGTGGGCGACAACCGACTCTGAATTCCGAAGAGCCGGAGACCGAAAAAGAACGCGGTTGCAGAGCTCTTTGCAGTGATTTTTTTGAGGCCCGAAGAACACGAATAATAACACGGCTGCAGAGCTCTTTGCAATAATTTTTTAGACAAGATTGTATTATATTTGCACCTTATGTCTAAGAAATAAGACGATCAAAATCATTTTAAGATTATAAATACAAGATGATATAAAATTATCTATACAATCATATGATTATATAGCAAAAAGCCACACAAAAGTTTTAAAATGTCAGCACAACTGGATTTACCAAAACTTTCATACATTTTCTACATTCACCTTGGATGAAGTTTTAGTATTCAAATGGTTCGATAGCCTTCATATAGTAACATAGTATACCAGAAATGCATTTTTTAATGTAATCAGAAGGTCAAAAAAATCATAGTAAGCGAGGTTACAGTCTGGAGTCCCTTCACCACGTATTCCAGTCAAAATCCTTGGAACTTTCTTTTTTTCTTTATATTTTAAAGGTAATCAGAAGGTCAAAAGTATCAAATTAACCGAGGTTACAGTCAGGAGTCCCTTTGTAACAGTCGCCTACTTCGGTCACATATGAGGCTTAAGAAAAATACCATTGGCTCAAGAGTCAGGGACACTATCTCTTGTGTTTTTCTACATCAAAAACGGTCGGAGCCAATTCGGTTCGCTTGTGACATTTTTTTTCTAAAAAGTAAATTTCACTAAGATGAAAGTAAGAACATTTAAAAATAAACATGTACAATAAACAAATATTATACATTAATAAAATGAGCGCCGGGTGACAATTAAAAAAGAAAAACTACAAATATGTACAATATACAAGTATTATACATCAGCTTTGAAAAAATAGCACCAAATTACAGTTAAGAACAACAGTTCAGTGAAAAACAGCAACGGGGCGAAGAGAATAGAGGAAAGGTTAGTCGCGTCGTGATAGGGAATTATTGATGGAAATATCTTGGTTGTAGCAGGTCTGGCTTCTCATTTTGCGGGATCCTCTAATGCAAAGAAGGGCACCTCTCATAATGCAAAAGTTTACACGGGTTCGTAGCCACGAAATAGTTTCAGAATAGTGGGTTCCGCGCTTCTCAGAGGTCAGGAGAGCTAGCTGGGAAATAAATGTTGAAGTCAGGTTGCTGCAGTCACCACTGGTTGAATAGATAATGGGGGTGAAACTTGCGTGCTCCGAGTTCAAAATTCGTTCCCGGTAGTTTTTGATTTTCTCTTGTTCATGATGTTTGAAGGTTTCAGAAATTTTCCGGTTGATATTGGTGGTAGCTCCGGGATTGAAAATTCGGACGTCGAAAAGAGTGTGTTGACCGGTCCGCCAGAAACCCCTTGCTGCTATATCCAATCTTGCTCTATCTTCGGCACGGTTGGAGTTAGTTTGGACAACTGGTTGGAGACTCGGTTCAATGGAGACGTCAAAGCAAGTTTCGCGTATGATGTTCGCCAGCAGGTCACGCAACTCGTTGTGTCTTTTATGAATAAAACCACCAGTGGAGCAATTAAGGGCGTGGGTGATGTCGTAAGGTTTCCCACAGACGCAGGCAACGGGAAGGTTATCAAGACTGATACCGTATCGGAGGCGGAGGAGGTCTTGAAATTCCATTTTGTTGAGAGCATACCCTAACTCTTTGATAGGGAGGGTAGTTAACCACGCTGAGGTGCCTTTCCGTCTCGTATGTTCTAGAAGTCTGTCTTGGCGCTCAGATAGCTTCGGCCGGATAGTTTGCAGGAGTTCTGTTTGCGTCTCGGTGTTTTGCTTCCGAATATAAGCCCTTCTAGATTTCTGATCGGATTCAAAACCAGAGGGAAGATTTTCAGATTGCGTACATATTAAGTCCACGTGTGGTTCGCAAATGTATTCTGAAGCCCGGTTCATTAGAGCACTCTGTCTAATTGGGTCGCGAATGCTCAGGCCGCCCAACCTGGCTGGTAACTGCGCAAGTTCGAGCGACGTGGGATCCAGTTTGCAACCAAATTTGGTTTCGAGCAAGTTGTTGATAGAGCTTGAGAGGTTATGCCATGCTTCCGCGGGAGTTTCCATGATGCGCTGAAGGTACGACCATTTGCTTTGCAGGCTGAAAACAAGGCCAGCGTATGCGGCTTGTGGTTCTTGCTCTGCTATTTCAGTCAGCTTTTCCACCATGCTTGTGAACTTCTCTGTTTTTTGCAAGATGAAGTCAGAGCAGAAAGCTGTTGAGCCGATAACACCACCTAAGTACTTCTTTCCCGAAGTGCGAATAATCAACCCGTCACTTTTGAACAGTGCTTCTGCTTCATCGAGGTGTTGTGGTTTGACAACGAGTACTGTTTTGGAGGGCTCCGGGAAGTAACCGTAATTCGGGCCTCGAACTTTCATGAGTTCCCACCATTCTTTGACACGGATAAGTTTCCCTGCACCAGCTCCGTCATCGGCGTAAAAGTTCTTGTGAATGTCGGTGACGGTTTTATCATAGACAAGGGGGATCATGCTGATGGCGTACATGATCATTGCTGCCACGTCTCCTTGAGTGGTGCCTTCGGATGACAGGATGGACTTCCCTCCTACGAACAAGATAGCTGGCTGTTTGTAGAAGTTATTGAGGAAGGGGTGGAGCTGGGGGCATAGAATTTCAATGTTATGGAGAGCCGTACCGCGGTTCAGTCTATTGAACGCGTTTTCTGCGTCAATGAACAGGGCTGCTTGGCACTCGTCGGCGTTGAAGGTCTTCTGCATGGATCGGAAAGCAGATTCAATCCCGGCGCTAATACCAGCGCAGGTTTGGAGGGGGCCAACAATCTCCCTAACTTCGTCTTGAAAGCACTGGATAAGGGCGGACGTGATTATTCTTCTAAAAATTTCTCCGATTCCAATAGGGCGGACGCCAGGTGATTTGTCCAGGCCAACCATGCGGCAGTTTGCTATGGGCTGCACCACTGAAGCGGGTAGTTGCTCTGTGGCAAGAATTCTGGTAAGATCAGCGAGAGCGTGGCAGACGTCGTCGGTTAATTTACCAAAACTATCGGAGCAAAGAATACGTTTGGCGCCTGTTGAACTTAGGCCGCTTGGTCCCGCGCCTCCAGTGCTGTTGAGTGCGCATTTGCGGATAAGCGCGCCTGTAATGTTGTAATATATCGATGCAGGAGTAGGTTTAACGGGTCCCTTGAGCAAGGCGTCAGCATGCGAAGGCTCGGCGACCGGGTGTTTTCTCTCCAGTTGAGCGATGAGGTCATCGTCTACGGGCAAAGGTCCTCCAGACTCTTCGCCTTCGAGGAGTTGGGTGGCTTGGGTGAGTTTACCCCGCATGATAAGGTCACTGTACGTTTTCGACAGGTTGACGACTCCCTTTCGGCGCTTGCTTGTAAACTTATCCTGGATTAGCAAGCATTCAGAGACAATTTCGTCTAGATTGCCGTTCGACCAGTGCTCTAAACGGGCTTTAGTACAGTTGTTGTGCTCTTTCACTTTGCTGCGAGCAGATGGTTTCTGTAGCATAAGCGCGGGGAACAAGTGAAAAGCTAAGGAGGCGGAGTGAGCGTTCTTTGGGTCTGAAGTCAAATTTTTCAGAATGCGGATGAACTCCTCCAGGAACTGACTCCCTACTTTTCCCTGTGGAAGGGTGAACAGGTTAGGTACCCAGGTGACAATCCTCAAATAGGCTTGATGGAGTGAGGTATAACTGATTGTCCCATGCAGCACCTTAAGATCCTCGTGAGTAGTTTCCACCGGATCCAACCGGAGATCACTTAGTAGTTGAGATAATCCAGTTGATCCGTTCACCGAGGGGGTGACACAGTAGGGACAGTAAAACAGAGAGTTTCTGGGCATTGCTGCAAGTGCTTTCTTTGTAGTTTTGGCACAGCTCATGTGGTACCAGTTGTTACACTGGTCGCATTGGACGCCACTCGAGCTCACGATACCGCTGTGCGGGCAATCCGCATTACCGCATGGTGCTGTGTCTTCTGATATCTGGGTGAGCAGTCCTGCGTGTGGATCTCGCGTCGCTTCGCTGCTGCTGGCAGACCGAAGTTTTCTCGCCATCTTGCTGGGACGTCAATCACTAGAAACTTGGTCAGGCCAAAGTCTTTTGTCCTTCAATATCGACGGCGTTCGTGTATTTTGGGTATCTCGAGACCTAAGTATGGGAACGTTCTTATTTTCTAGAGTGGGGGGATATTTTGGTAGTGGCCTTTAAGCTTGCGACATGAGACTAGAACCCGTTACAGCTTAAAGGCCACTACCAAAATATCCCCCACTCTAGAAAACAAGAACGTTCCCATACTTAGGTCTCGAGATACCCAAAATACACGAACGCCGTTAAAAACCGGGTTGTAACAATCCGTTAAGTAACTTATTATTAGACAGTGGAACTTTGATCCATTTCAGATTGATCAACCTAAAACTCGCCTTATCTCAACATAAAAATCATAAAACACACTCGAGAAAACTAAATTTAGTACTCACATAGCAGCGCGCTTGAGACACAGAGTAATTGAACTAATTAACGACTCTGGCATGAATATA